CCTATTTCAAGGCTAACTTCCTGAAAACGAGTTTGTTGAATATTAAGACAGATCCTAGGCAGCTTTTTTAATTCTTAGAAATCTTAACATCTCTGTGCCAGAGGATGGGAAGCAATATCAGACCCTTCATTTCTTCAAAGCATGTGCAGAGCCTCACATGAAAGACACTTTGTCAAACAAACTAACTTAGTCTTTGGCTTTACGTAACTCCCATTCACCAAAAAAAAAAAAAAAAAGACACACCAAAAACCAAAATAAAAAAAAAAAACAAAAAAAAAAACAAAAAAAAAAAAAAAAAAAAAAAAACACAAAACAAAAACAAACAAAAAGAGCAGAATAGCAGAGAAAGTAGATACACTCTTACCTGTCTGGCTATAGCTGAAAATTTCATTACATGCAGTGTTTCATCATATGTGGAAGTATGCTGATTAATGTTTACAATCATACAAGCTTTGCCTTTCCCACAAAAAAATGGCTGAAACAGACGAGTCAGTTTACTCTCTCTGAATGGAATATAGCTTGGCTTCATCCTCAGGGAGGGAAAAAAGTTAAGATTGTGAAACAAAATAAAAATTGTATTTTATTGTACAATTAGGGCTATTGTAGCTTACCTTAATTTTGTTTCTCTCTTTCAGGAAAGAGAACCAGTAAGACACTTATGTTTAAGGCTAAGTTATTTCACATCAAAGAGCAAGGTCTTTCCTGGATTTTATAGGCTCTCTCCAACAAACTGAACTATTTAGAAGTAAAAGTAGCATAGTGTCTGCATCACAGTTCCCTAGTGTTCTAAAGCAGATAGTGGAACAAGCCAAAAGCTCAGTACAGGTCATCTATCAGCTGCCTGATGAATCTACCTGTATAATTTGCAGGTGGAAGGGAAGAAGACAAAACTAGAGCTTTGTACACAAAATGTGTTGTTCATATACATACACTAAAAACAATTTGGTAGTTTGCTGCAAATTGCCTTTTTTTGCTCTCCACAAACACCAGCTATGGAGAAAATGTTCTTTTTGGGTATTCCAGTGACAACTATAATAAAGAAGACTTAAGAGTTCGTAGATTTCTGTTTTTCTCTGTGCAAACTGCTTGCAGAAACAGAGGTATACTTAGTGTTTCCACCTAAAACTTGACATGTAAATAACTTGTCACTTACTTTGGGTTTTGATTTTGCTTCAGAGCTGCAATGCACTTTCCAAGGATGTGAAGAGAATTATTAATATTTCCTGCTTCTTTAAGTCTGTCTCCAAAGACATGTGTTTTATTACACCTCTCTGAACCAGCCAAGTCACAGAAAGACAACCTGCATGAAAGAGTTACCAGAACACACACATGAAGTCCTTCCCAACTCACCTTAGAGCTCTTTGCTTGGCTATAGCAATTATGTGCTACTAAACTCAGACCACTGAATTGTCCCTCATGGCACTATAGGTTATAATCAGAAAATCATCATGGATAATCAAGGAATTCAATAAATTTTACTTCCTAATAGGAAAGATGTTGAAATACAGGAAGCTCTGGAAACTGGATAATTTATGTCACCAAACCATTACTCACACATAAATTTGCTTAAATAAAATAATTTGTTAGACCGTAACCTTTCATACAGCTGAAGTCCTATACAAATTATTAAGGCACATATTTCAAAATGTATGAAAGCCCTATGTTCTTTCTAGCACAAGATGAAGTTTTTTTTCTTCCATAAGCAACATACAAACTCTGCCATTTACCTAACAGCTGCTGCAAGCTTTGCCAGGGGGTACACTATGACAGAACAGCAAAAAAGTATGGATGCAGTCATTTTCTCAAGTTATCTTTTCTTAAGAGTATTTATCACTGTAACATCTGACATTTAAAAGTGTTATCTCACAGTGAGGTGTATTTATTACTCTCTGTGCTCAGCAGAGACAAGAGAGAAATCAGTAGGAGCTAGGGCTGAACTAAAACATTCTGTTACAGGCTGTCTTCATTTTTCTGTATCAAGCTAAATTAATCAGAATTAAAAAAAAAAAAGACATACCATCCCAAAGAAAAAGCTATCTAAATGGCTCCAGGCCAGAAGATTAGGCTGCTTCCTCTACACTATAAAAGAGCAGAGACTTAAGTGTAAGGACTTAACACTGCTCTCACAGGGTGCAGTTACATTAGCATTTCATATTAATGGAGAACAATTTTTAAGCAAATCATTTGATGATCCACTCTTACTTTACATTGGACCATGGAGCAGACTAGAGACCATGTCATCAGCATTCTTTTGGGATGATGGATCTTAATTTGCATTCTAGGAGCAGACCAAATGTGTTGTCACAAACGTTCCACCCATAAAGTCTAGTCTGGTCCCAGAGTAGAAAGACAGACTGGCATAACTTGCACCTTGGGCCTTCAGCACCAGCTGCCGCCCTCCAGTTGTAGAGATCACCCTCTGTCAGCCAGATACTTGAATTCTGCTTCCCAGGATATATAGTCTGGTGCTGCATAGTCTTACTCTGCCATCACCTCCCCATTATGTGAGACAATACACATTTTACTCAATTTACACACTACTGACAGAGTTGCTCCAGCAAAAACCTTAGAGACGGGAAAACACTTCTGTGCTTGTCCCTGTTGAGCTTCCAGTCAGTTCATATGCTCAGTAGAGTTCTGATTTCCTTCTCAACTCTCAGAGAATTTTTTTTTTAATTAGAAAGCTCACCAGTTTGGCATGCTTACACCTTAGTAATTTTTCCAAAATATTTACATTATTGGTAATCACATGAAGCATTCACTTACTCAGATACTCCAAGAACACGTGGTTGATGCTCATCAGTTAGCTTGAGTAGCCTGATGGAAAATATACTGTGACTGGAATGGAAAGAAGTCCTTTTTAATAATCAGTTATGAAAATTAAGCAGTCACTGAAGCAAAGTAAAATTTTTATGCTACAGAAAACTCAGTGCTGAAGAAAGGAAATTCACTAGTTACCTTAATACAGTAGTTACTTTTGCAATGCATTCATTAAGTAGCAAAAAACAGCAATAAAAGCTGTATTTTATGACTTTTTATTTCTTTCCACATAGGAAAAGGAAAAAAATCACATATTATATCATAATATCAGCCTACAAACCATCTTGGAGAAAAAAAAAAACTAAGCCAGTTCACTAAAGTCTACAGATCAAAAGATGAGTAGTCATGAAGCCACTTCATATAGAAAACCTTAGGCAGTATCTGAACTCAGCAAATCCGAAGGATTAACTTAGAAACAAATGGTGGGGAGAAGGGAATAAGGTCAAGTTTTACAGTCCTGTAATTTTGCCTACTTCAATATGTATAGTTACTTGTTTGGTTTTGAAATAATCCTGTTTTCCAGAGAAGTTGAATTTGTAACACTTGAAAATCCAGTAACTCTGGTTTAGACAACAATCTACACAGGCAGTGGACATGCTGTCTAAAACTAAAGAGAAAAGTCACAAAACCAGAAGTGCCCAGTTTTTCTGATTCATCAGGAAGCACAAACTTCTTTAGTATATACCTTAAGCAGTGGGCATTCTAGGCATAAAGCTCTGTTAAGAGGAACATGAAATGTAACAGCAGCTGTCTTTAGCTACTACAGAACAACACAATTCTTGCTTCTCAGAGGAAAAAGTAGGCTTAGTAACACTATAATTGCATTAACTATAAATAAAACAATGCCCTTCCACACTTAAAGAACAAATTATTAAGATGTCATTAAAATCAAGAAAGGAGGTGTTTTCAATAGAAATTATACAACCTTCTCTATTTCCTCTCACTCCATCAAAAGTCAGATTCTCCCTGATCCCTGTCTAGAGCTGGGTAAAACTAGGAGTTTAATTCTTTAAGATACCAAGTAAGCTCAGCTTGAACACATCAATCTAAAAGCATCTAGAAAATCTAGCAGCACTGCAAGATATCACATGAATTGCTCCTTCCTATATCTCCTAATGACAGGATCCAGGTTTCCAAGAATTATACTGCCAGTTATGAAAAATTAACCAGCTTTTCCTTCAACTTCCTCACACAGCCATTCTCACTCAGCACCACAAGCATTTGCTAAGATGCATAGCCCTGTTGGCACTCGAAAATTAATATTATTCCATCATTTTGGTTGTCCAAAAGACATGTATAGCAACCTGAATCCAGCTACTATTAGTCACAGAGTCTCTCCTAGTTTTCCTTCAGAGAGAATTTCATAACAAAACCAGAATAATCAAGGGATGTATTAAACTATTATTGAAGAGTGGTTTATTACACACATATTTTAATTCCCCACCCTTCCCCTCAAAATGGACAGCATATGCTTATAATTAAAAGAACAAACCTTCTACTTGATTGCTCATTCATTCTAGTACAGGCAAAGCTTCGGTTCTTGTTTCCTATTTTTAGTAGTCTGCAGGCTTCTTCAGGGCTCTGAACATTAATCCACTTCAAATCTGCAAAAAGAGATCTTTTACATACATTTCTGATCATCAGAGAAATTCTGTGAAACTGCCTACATCATAAAACAGTATTATTACCTTTAATGTAAAAATTTCCTCCTTGATCCTCACAAATTCTTAAAACTCTGCGCCTTTGAGTTTTTGATGTAGCTAAAATATTTAATAGGTCGTACACATACTCATTATAAATTTCACAAAAGGAAATCCACACAGATGCCTGTGTTCTTTGGTGCATACTAGTCCTTTGAATGTCAGGTGGAACCAAGCTCTTCTCTGCTAACCCAAAACAGAGGAAGAGTTCAAAGATCAACTCATTGACATATTTTAAATAAGTATATAGAATCTTCTAAAAGGACCTATAGAATCTGCTAAAAGGAGAAGGCTTAGATACATCTGTGTTGTACAGTTAGATACACATGGATGACTTTAGCTTTATCCAAAATGAACAAACTTCTCAGCAGTCATCTGCTACGAGAATATGCCCAAATTCTAAGCTGATGGCCTCACTTCATCACAGACTTCCAGCAGTTTATACACTATATTTGCAAAACAGTCTCCCCCTTCCCCCAAAAAGGGGTGAAACTATTAAAATATTTTTATATAGTTGCCCTTTCTCCAGAGGAAAGGGACAAAAATTTGGTCAAAACCTATATATATTTACTTTGCAGTATAATACAGTGATTTTTTTTTTATCCACTGGTAGCTACCCACTAGTATTTCTTAATTCATATTATGTTTTACCCCCACACAACAGTTTTCCACTTTACCTAGTGAGTTAGAAGGGTGATTGTCTGAAGTACAGCTAGAAGAATCCAACTTTGCATCACAGAAATTCGCTACAGTATTTGAGATGCTCTCTGCCTCCTTAAGAAAATAAGAGACTGTTAAATCCACATCAACAGATGATCAGAAAAGCAGAAGTTAAAAATTACAGCAATAACATTATTTAAGAACTGAATATCGAAGTAGTATTACGTGTTAGGCCATCCTTACTCTGGCTGAAGGTGAAATGTTTTTAATAATACTGAACTATAATCAATAAATGCTCTTTCCATCACATGAATTATTGCTTGCTGCTACTCCCAGCAACCAATTTTGGTGGCCAGTTGCTGCTAACACTGGAGACTTAACTTCAGAGTCCTAGGAGGGAAAGGATTCTGTCAGACTGCAGCAGCCCAGAATGCCTTTATGAGCTATTGACCAAATCTGAACAGTGCTTCAGTCATCCAAAAGAACTGGAGAAATTTCCTCCTGGAGTAACTGCCAAGGTGGTAGTACTTAAGTTATGATAAACCAACACTGTATGTTGCTTTAATTCAGTCTGAACTAAAAGGCCATGAAAAATAGACAACAGCATGATTTCTTTAAGTACACACATTTGCTGAATTTCTTTACATCAACAGAATTGTTTTAAACCTGCCAAGATTCACCAAAGCACTGCCTTTAAGCTACCTCTGGAAAAACTAATGTAACAAGGTAGCAACTCCCACTAGAGTCCAGCATCTTTATATACTACTTCTCTCTCCATATTTTATTGGCCCCTATGAACTAGGACATTCACCCTGATTTCTCTTTCCTGAGATTCCCGATTTCTCTTTCCTACACTGCTCTTCAAAAGAAATACAGAAAAAAGCATGAAGGTGACTGCCTAAAAAAAAGTAGGAACAGGAACTGACTTTGTTTGCCAACAACAGAAGCTGACATTTAATAGAAAATACAAGAACACGTGAGAATATGAATGCACATAAAGCATCTTTTAATCCAGTAAAAAACAGTATTTAATCCCATTAAGGCAAACAGGAAAGGGGAGGAAAGAGAGGGTATGAGCCATGCTAACCAAGAGTTGTTGCAGCAGTAATGCATACAGAACAAACAGTAGGACATTAAGTGATGCAGTAACTCAGAGCAGCAAAAATGGAATGAAAGGAACAGCAAGCTCCTTCTGTATGACATGTAAACTGAGCCTGGGAAATGGGCCTACAGGAATCCATGTCAACCAAAGCCAAGCCCACCAAATTGTATCTGCTCTCAGATTACAGCTTGAGAGAGCATCCAAACAGTGATGCTATTCATGCAGAAGCTATCAAGAAGCACAGCTTCAGAACTGGGGATCACTGAGCTATCTTCTATGGAAGCATTGTAATACATAAACAAGGTCCTGTCATGTAATAGTTTCCTGGTTCATTTTTACCTGTCCTTCCTGATGGTGGAGTGCTGGCTGCTCTCTTTTCACTGCAGTGCATCAGCATCTAGATCACCTACTGCAACATTCAGTTACTGAGCTATAAGTAAGTCAAACTGTGATTTAACAGAAGGAAATATTTTTATGGAGTTATCTTCAAAATAAGATACTGACTTTTTGCTCCAGACCCTGGGCTTCTACTTGCTCCTCTTTTCAAGGCTGCAGGTTCCATAAAATTTTTAAAGGTATTTACTTACTATCCTCCTAACCATCTCAACTTTTAAGACCCCCTCATTCTCTCTGAGCATGCAAATACACAGAGACACTTTCAAAATAAATATGTATTCTTTCATATCTTTCAGATTTTTCATCTGAGATATTTCCTCAAGAGTTAACCAGACTCAGACTAAACAAAGTTTTGGGTTGCACAGTTTAAATTAAGCAACAGAATTTAGAGTGAGTGGAACTTTACATATGAATTTGAGTTATAGAAGGATATTTTTTCAGGGTTAATGAGAGTACTTCAACAAGGTTAGTAGTAAAGACCACAAGAAAAGAAAACAAATCATTATTTCTATACATGACAGAATTAATTTATAGTTGCTTTGAATGATAAGCAGCTGAGCCTACTGCATTCTGGGATTAGGTGCACAGAAATACAGTCCAGGAGAAAATGTTCTGAACAAAAGGAATCTGACAGCAAGCTGCAATTGGATTTAAAAGTATAAAATAGTCCCAAATGCATGGATGCCCCTTTTCTGGTGAGACAGTTTTTTCCTGTAGAAACAGAAACTACTGGATAACAAGAACAAGAGTGCACCACAGGAAAGACTTCTCTATTCTACTTACAGTTTTCAGAGACCAGCCTTAGTCACATACTATCCCCTAAGGCAGACAGAAATCCTTTTAGGATATTCATTTTGTGGCATCTCACTTCACTGGCTGAATCAGAAAATTTCTTTATGAAGTTACATAAGTCACAGGTTTATAAACTTTTTCATCTGCCTCAAGGCTGTCTTCCACCAAAAGGAACTCTCTCTGCCCTCTTCACTGCCTCTGCTAAGACAGTGTCATCACCTCTCCTGAGCTAGTACAAGCATTTGAATGACTGCACCAAGATCCAGCCTTAAAGAGCCCAACCTTAAAAAAGAGCTGCTTAACAAGAACTAGGTTTTAGATAGGTCCTGTAGCTCTCAAATTTTTCAAAGGCTATGTCACCACAGTGTCAGAAGTGCTTCCCTAAAGAGGAGGCTTCTTCTCTCTAAAAACTGAGATTTAGCTTTGTGATGGTTTTTGGTTGGAACTGTGTGCTGCGCAAAGTTCTTCCAGTTTACCCTGAGCTCCAAAACTAGCCAATTGTCTTATTATTCCAAGGTTTACCATGTACGTATACTTTAGATTTTTATATATAAAGAATCAATAGTGGAATAAAGACTTTTAAAACTTCCTGTCTGACAGAACAGCTTTAAGAAGCATTTGATCACTGACCTCTTTCAGTGATGCAAGAATAGCAGTTTTTAAGGCTTCTTCTTGCTTAACTTGTTCATCTTCTAGTTTCTTAACATCGTTGCTCAAATATGGTTTGAAGTTCATCTTCGGGTAATGTCTTCCTCTTATGTGGTTAAAAATCACATCAAGTGAGCGAGGTAAAATACCAAGATCTTTTGAAGTCCCTTAAAAATATTTAAAAATTAAGTGTAGACATTCATGTAAGCTTGTCATTGGATTTTACTTGGTTTTTATACATGCAAATATTTTATACCTTGGATAGTGAATGTCTTGCCTGCGTTTGTAACTCCATAAGTAAACACCAGTCCATTCACTCCATTAACATATCCTCTTACAATATCTTTCATTGAGCCTTCAAAAAATTCACTCTGAGTAGTTTCTGGTCCAAAGACCTAGGATAAGGGGAAGAAAGAAAGAAAAAAAAGAGTGGCAAATGGCACAAAGAAGTTTAATAAGGCAAAATAAGTACTGATTAGAAATTACTAATTTTTCAGAACAAGCTGGGTAGGAGACACCAGCTTAATTTCCTGTCTTGCCTGAACACCTTCTGATTCAATGTTTTCTGTTGGGTTCTCACAGGATGCCTGCTTAATTCTGAGAGGCACTCAGGCTTGCACTAATTTTTGAATATTTTCCTACTCCTAAAATAAACTGCTCAGAATTCTATTGGGCACATGCCGTTCAGTGGATACTTTCAAGAGCTCTGCCAGTGATGTAAATCTCCCTCTTCACTCTTCACCAGTCACCCACAACTGATGAGAAAATCAGCATTTTAATGGTCTAAATAACTCAATCCCTGGAACTGTTTGTCTTTTGGTACTGCAAAAACAGGACTTTTTGCAGTAGGCAAAGTTAAGAAATTTGCTTTCAGTATAGAAAGTTTAAGCAGTTAAGCTGCTATTCTTTCAAAAGGAGGTTACTAAATACATGCTTACATAAATTCCTACAAACACAAGGTTTCCTGTAACACTTCCGAGATAAAAGCATCTGCAGGAACAGCAGAACCACAAAGTTTGTGCCTACAAGAAGTTTCTGTAACATCTAATCAAAGAAAACCACAGACCTGCCAAAGAAGCTTCCTTGTCTCATCTAATAGGCACCTCCATTGTAATACAGCTTTCCTGACAGCTTATCAGTAATTATTAAGCACTTTTTAAAAAAAAAAATATAGGCAAGTACCACCACACGCTATTAAAAGAAGAAAAATCACATTGCATGACATAATACAAAATTCAACTTTCATTAGAGTGAAAAAAAACAAAACTAAGAATTTGAAATAATTTGGCCTACCTGAGAAAAGGTGAAGCTGTGCACAGCATGACCAATCCCTCTTTCACTGTTTTTCATTGCAGAAGACTCTTTGGGTGCATTAAGAATTACTGTCTGGGCATCTTCAATAGTTACACAACTCTTAAAAAACAAAACAAAGTAAACCAAAACAAGACACAAAATTATTCAGGAAGAAAGCCATCTGAACAAAACAAAAAAAAACACCCACTCCAACAACCCCAAAAAATCCTTTTGTCTTCACCCATTTACCAGAGCTACAAAAAGTCTCACAATGTACATATATCATCTTGAGGCATGTCACTACAGAGATATTCACTTCACATGAAAGCCAGAGTATAACCAGAGAGCCAAAGTCAAGGCAATCCTCTGGGATTTTCTAAGAGATAAAAACTTTTACTAGCATTCCTTCCAGCAACTTTTCCTTGGGAACACTTTCTAAACCCTCATATTTTGTGATTGTGAGTTGCAATCACTACAAAAACAATTACATAGAAATCGACTGGTTTTCCATATCAGTCATTTTCAGTGTGAAACAGACTAAGAGAAGAATTAACAAAGCAAAGTCTGAAGTATTATCCTTTGACTGATAAATAGTTTACCAGTAATGAAAGAAAGTGAATTAGTTTCAAGAAATTTGATTGTTATTTCTTGATTAAATAAAGGTGAAATACAATTACCAAACACTCACTAGCTAGATAAATGTAGGATGCAGTGTTAAAGGAAAATTCATTTTATACCAGATTTGCTACCAAAGAAGCAAAGTGAACTCCCAGTATAGCTTAATGATATCTTGATGCATCATCTAAAAGGACTGACCGTAACTTAATCTGACATTTATGTTCAGAGACTGGCCAGAACTTCTAAAACAAATAATCCATGTGTGGTACATACACAGGAACTACTGTTGTTCCTAGGAGCCTCAATTAACAAGTCTGATTATTAATTGATATAGAAGATCTATGCCAATAATTAACTGGTACAGGCCTTATAGCAGCCTACAATTTGCTCGTGAAGAAACAAGAATAGGCAGGCACTGATCTCTTCCCTCTGGTGACCAGTGAGAAGATATGAAGGAATGACCTGAAGTTGTGTCAGGGGAGGTTTACTTTGGAAATTAGAAAAAGGTTCTTCACCCAGAGGGTGGTTGCACATTGGAACAGGCTCCCCAGGGAAGGGGGTCACAGTACTAAGCATGACATAGTTCAAGAAGCATTTAGACAGCACTCTCAGGGCACATGGTGTGACTTGGGGATGTCCTGCGCAGGGTTAGAAATTGGACTTTGATGATCCTTGCAGATCTCTTCCAATTCAGCTTATTCTGTGATTCTGAGAGACTCTAAGAAACTGCTTTCTAAATTTATACCAATCACCTGCTCACTATGCCAGGATCTGAACCTATATAGTCTTTAACATTTCTCCCACATCACCAGTGACAGGAATGCAGGTCAGAAGTACTAAACCCTAGAGAGCTACAGAATAATCCAGGATCTCCAGCATCAGCTGCCACCAACCTCACAGAAGCCTATAGTGTAGAGGCTCAGAGTAGTCACATCTGCAGAGATGGAAGCCAACTGGTAACAATTCACTCCACTTGTCTCCCCCAACTAACCCTGCAGGTAAGTTGGCAGGAGCTGGTCTATTTCTGGCACTGTACACATAATTTATATCCAAAAAACACAACTTCCTGCTTTCCCACAGGTGACTCTGGAGAGTCGCTGGCAGGAGTACAGAATTTCACCCAGAGCTCTTAAGCTTTATTTCCATAAATCATTATCTCTATAAACATCAACTGATCAGTTAACCAGTTGATTGTCTTTGTTTAAAGCATCAGCCTCCAGCTATAAGAAATAGATCTTGGGTTCTACTTTTTCTTTTTGTGCCACATATTTGGAACAATGGTGCTTTCCTGAAAATTATGCATAGCAGGGAAGAATAAAGGACCTAAAAATTAAATTGACCCATTTGATTTAAAGATTAGGAAGTAAGGTTTATTTGACTGTTTTGTGTAGGTTTCTTTCATTTGTTACAAAGCATTTCCTTCTTGGACTAAGGTGGTAGTAAAGAAAGTAGAAAACACTGAAAATGTCAAAAAACTTTCAATCATTCTGTTTTTGAAGGCTGGGGAAAAAGACTTAATCCCATACAAAACAGATTATACATATTATATTATTAATTATAATTATATTGTAATAGGTTGGAAGTTCAACTATTTCAGCCTGAACAACATGGAAACAAAAAAATTAGTACAAACTTCAATGTTCACTTTTTTCCTCCCTGCTTTTAAGAAATGTCTCACTCCAAAGAGGAATGTGCTAAACAACTCATGAAACAATTTGATTTTGCAAATCAGTTTACACTTGGAGCCAGCTCAGACTGTGGAATTTACCAAACTGGAAGCACTGTAGAAGTACTATTCCAGGAGAGCTGACTATGCAAAGGCAAAGTGAAGTTTGAGTGGAAGAAAATGCATTGAGAAAATGTAGAAGAATTATCCAAGTGAAAATGATAGAGGTTCCATCTCTGGCAGATCAAAAGCAAGAATGCATTTTTAAACAGCAATTTGCAAGAAGCAAACAAGGACTAATATTAAATCCTTCTTAGAGCTCTTCAAGATGACCTCTCTTCACTCAGAAAGCCTGCCAGATAAGGACTGAAAGATGTGATATAGAGACCTTGTCCTCCAAAGACAGCTAAAGGAATTCTTTGTGTTGGTCATCACAATGAGGGGAAGGGGAACACTTCTAAATGTTTGTACATGTGTGTGCATAAATTCTGAAGCATCTGAATCTGACAGAGTAGAGGTTTTGACAGGCTGAGCAGAAAGTCACCAGGATGAGGAAGGAGGTTATTCAAGCATTTCAAAGAAACTAAATGGTCAGATACTCCAGTTATACCTTGAATTGCATAATCTCTTCCATGGAACTCCTTTGTATCTTGAGCACTACAGAGTTGACACCAATTCTTAAATAACATACCCAGTGGAAATTTGAAGAGCCACAGGTGTTCATGTCCATACCATACAAATCATTAAAAGTTGGAGGATGGAAAAAAAAAATAATTTGCATCTATCCAGATGCCAAATAAATCCATGTGGGGGCAGTACATGGCTTATGTAAAAGAAAGTTCTGCCTTACAATACTATGTGTTGTTCAGGGGAGAAGAAAAATATTATTTCATAGTTTTACAACGAACCTGGGAGTCATGGCTTTCAAGCTCTGCTATAGAAAAGGGCCTCACTCTCAAGAAGACTTTCAAAGGCTCATATACCTATTCATTAAAAAGAAGAGACAAAACACAATTATAATTGCCACTTTTAAAAGAGAACAGCCCAAAATCATATCAGCATACATATCTGATAGCGTTTCCTATTTTATATTAATGTGGCACATTTTCTTTTCATGTCAAGTTCAGACTCTAAGCCTTTATTTGCTTCTTTACCTTCTACTGTCCTTAAGTAACCCTTTTTTTTGTGTGTGTGCCCCCCCACTCCTCTCCCTTTAGCATTCTTTCAGGACAAAGCCAGCAGTTTGATTTTAAAAGAGCGCACTGTCAGAGGCACAAATTGCAGTGCTTCCACCTTCTGGTCTCCTGCTGTACTGAATTCAAACTGTGCTAGTCTAACAGCTGCTACATAATCCTGCACTTTCATTTCGTATGGAACATGTTCTAACACTGACACATTCTTAGCCTCAAGAGACCACTTCCTTACCACCATCCAGGCACCAGACCCTCATCTTCCTCACAGTAACAAGCAGGCAGCTGTTCTCAGTTGCTCAGGTGGCCTTTTCCATTCCCCAACCATTACAGAACAGTCTCCCCACCCAGGTAGAGCAATAATAGCAGGGAGCATTTCAGAGGGGTCCCAGCACTCCTTCCTTTCTCAAGGAGCTTCAGTTTTTACTTTCCTTCAGCACATGGACTTACTCTCCACAGCCCTGTCATGACTAGCACTAATCAGAGAAAATGAAGTCACCTGAGGAAAACTAACCCAGGAAACATATCCCTCTAAAAAAAGCATAGTTGGGTACATACTCCTCTGCTCGAGCACAGCAGGGCATTATAGATTGTTATTTCCAAGCACCTAATGAGTTTTCACATCAAGGACCCATGTATTTTTTAAAGCTTATTAAAAAGAACAGTACAGTCTCATTACACTTAAATTGCAATTACGGAAGTCCTTTACCTTTTTTTCTCAGAGTTTAGCACATCTCATCGCATAGCACTGACCATGTATCTGCGTTTGGCGCAGGCTATGATCTTTGTGAAAGCAATAAGAAATAAGCAGGAGACTCAAACACATCTCAGGGGCAGAGTACAGCAGCTCTCAGCAAAGATTTGTTAAAGCTTAAAAAGAACCCCAAAATCCACTTAAAAAACAACCCAGCATCACCAGAAGACACTTTGTAAGACCAATCCACACCTGCTGTTCCTCTGTATTAGACAATACTGTTGACTCCAAGGGTGAAGGTTTACCCTCTACACTCAGAAAAGAAACCGATTCCAACACATCACACACTTCCGTGGAAACATAGCTTTTCCCCTCATCAGCCATCGTTCTCTGCAAAGGAACTTGGAAGGAAAGGAATAAAAAATTGTGTATATATATATATATATATATATAAACAAAACCCCATCATTTTCTCAGAGAATGGGCAAAAATACATATAGAGCAAAACAAAGATGGGGCCAGCTCGTATGCAATAAACAATCGCTTCCGAAGAACACAGGGTAATCTAGAGAAGTCTGGGGAAGTACAACCTTTAAAAAAAAAAAAAAAACACCTGGCAGGTTATACTAGGAAACACTCAAGGGAAGGTGCGCTAACAGCCTCAGCTGGGGACTGCTCTCATCCAGCTGCAGCCCCCTCCCCGGGAGGCTGAGCACCCGCAGGCAGCCGGGCTCCGAGCGATCCCCGCTCCCGAGGCCGCCGAGCCCCGCTCGCCCTTCACGGGAGCGCCGCTACCTTGGCGCGCGCGGGAAGCCACAAGCCGGGCCCGCCCGGGCGGGGCATTTTGGGTGGGGAGCCGGGCGCTGATTGGCCGAGCGCGAGGGGGAGGCGGGCGGTGATTGGCCGAGCTCGGGGGAGCGGGGGGAGCGCGGGCAGAGCTCCCTGCGCCCGGCAGGGGGCGCCGCCGCACAGCGCACGGCAGTGGAGCCGCCGGCTCGTGAGGGAGGGAGGGAGTGGCGGGGAATGGGGGAACCGGGATGGAGCGGAGCGAGCGGGAGGGAGCAGCGTGTGCTCCAGACGCAGGGTTTGCTTATCGTCCTCAATAAGGCACGGCGGTAAAGAAGAGGTTTGGTCCGACAGCCGGGCGGCCAGAGGAGGAGGGTGTTCTGCCTGACAGAGGGGGAGGAGGAGGGGCGGGGAGACGTGGGTACCTAAATGTTTCCATCCGAGCGAGTTACATAAAGTTAGCTTGGGTGTTGCGTAACCGTTCCTGCACGGCCTCCGTGTAGAAGCAGAGAACGATGTAGAAAATAAATAAGATCGCGGAACGTGCGCGTCACGCGAAAGGCAGGAGTGTGCAGGCCAGGGACGGCGTGCCGCGGGCGAGGCGGGATGAGCCTGGAGCAGCTCCGTGGCAGCGCCTTCCCGGTAACAAATGTACAGCCCCTCCTGTGTCAGCCGGCCTGTTCACTCCCTAGGCGGGCAGCAGTATTTCTGCACCCAGGAACAAAGGTAAAGTTGCATCTGTGTTCATGGGTAAGTTGGAGATGAGTGAAAAGATGACAAAGGAAATTGGTCCTTGAAATGCCACAGCTGAAAGGTCAGTGGGACTTCAGCTTGTTTAGATGTGTGTCAGAGGTACAGCCAGATGTAAGCAGATACAAAACTTCCAGACCAGTTTTGACCAACAGGGAAAAACCAAAGGCAGAAATGGTGTCAAACCCAGCCAGCCATGCCTGCATCCATCTAAGTGCTTTCAGTCACAGGGCTACTCTGCTAGAAGGAAGACAATACTTGTGTGCAAGTAACTTATATCAGTGAGTGTAACCTATCTCCATGTGCTATTTGTTTGCCCATTTATTCCTGTAAAGAGCAGCCCATATAATACAAATAATTTTAAAATTACAGCTAGAAGTATTTGTCAGGCAGCTTCTATTTGTGGCATATTACCAGAAATAGGCTTTAAGGAAGACACAGGTGTTTTGTGTTGGGGGGTATTTTCCCTTTTGCTCAGTTATTTCTCAAGGAAGTAGGCTTGACACAATCTGTTCACATTAACTGGCCTTCCTTCCACCAAAGCTCCCAAGCCTACCAAATGGAGTGTCAGAATCCTTGTAAGGCCTTAAATTTAAGGAAATTGAAGGCCTCTTGTATCTCTTGATTAAGAAAGCTCAAGCTTTGGTCAGTTTTAGGTCTTAGAAAACAAACAGGACCTGAAGCTGCTTGCAGAGAAGCACCACTGCTTGTTTTAATTAGAATTCAAGTTCTCTCCTATGCTTGAAGCAGAAGCAGCAACCTGATCCTTAATGGATTAAACAAAACTGTTTTCTGTAACTCTGGGGTTTTGGTTTTGTTGGTTGAAGAATTAAGCACAGTTCCTTTGAGAGACTTAAAAGCAGCAATAAAAATGGCTGTTTTGTTGCTTTACATATGAAGCTTACTCTGAACACTAATATCTATGGAAATCTAAACCTGACAAGACAACTAAGTAGTCCCATAGTTCAGTTCTGTGACTCTACATGCATGTCAAAATAAACTTATTAAATTCAATGTTTTCACAAAATTTTGAAGTTTTATAACTAGCACCCCCAGGATCCTTTGATTGTGACACACATGGAGGCAGGGGGGGAAATCAAAATAAGCTAAGCATTAGCTCAGTCTTGCACAGCAAGAATCAAGAATTGAAAATTTGGTAATTTTACCTAAATATCAATTTTAATGCAAGTACTTGTCTGTGTATAAACTAAGATTTCAGCCTAAATCAAACCCTTAAATTATTAAAAATATGTTTTTCATAAAGTGCTGCACAACCATATAGTTGCCAGCCTCCAATGAAACCAGGATGCCCAAGTTTAATTTTCCTGGTATTTACAGCTGGCATACAGTCCTCTCACACAGCATTCTGATCGTGGTTTCTTCACAAAAACCATCACAGAACTATCTCTTGGCACACATAAGAAAAGAAACGAGTTATGAAAAGTTGTAAATCAACTTTATTCAGTGATAACCATCATTTAGGCATCAGCAATAGTAACTTCAACTTCTACGCCTGGTTCGATGCTGATGGAAGTGATCTGCTTGACGATCTCGGAAGGGCTGTGCAGGTCAATGAGCCGCTTATGGATACGCATTTGGAAGCGATCCCACGTCTTGGAACCCTCACCACAAGGCGTCTTCCTGGTAGTGATCCGCAGCGTCTGAAAAGTCAAACACCAAGTATTTAGCTGATGCACTGAGAGGAGTCATCTACAGTCCTATAAAAAGATGATCGCCTACAAATACTGTGTGGTATCTATGCCATTAGAAAGTTACCTATTGGGTTATGGTCTACTGGTGTTAACATTCCTTCCCTACATATTTAATTTCATTTTAAAAATGAGTTCGTTATCAAAATGAAGAGAAAAGCCCCTTCCATATCCAACATGCTTTGCACTTAATGGTTACCCTAGGTGTCAGAGCAACTTGTCAAAACATCTTTTTACACTGGGTCACCTTCAGTTTAGTAGCACTGCTTTTCATCTCATCTTTTGTTCTTTAAAAAAATATGTTTTTAAGCATACAGTTGCAGAAAGAAAATCAACTTTTAAGACAGGAAAACAGTGTCAAGTACCTTGGTGGGCATGCGAACGGGTCCCTTCACCTTCAGGTTTTTTTCCTTAGCACCTCTGATCAAGTCAGCACAGACTGAAAAAAGACATGCAATAGCTCAGGTTTGCAGCTATTTTACTTGCTTGATTTTTTAAGCAAGTATTTTAAGCAAGATGTTGGCTCAGAATAGCGTATGAGTGATCACTGCCATTCATTTACAGCATTATCCTCATAGCCAACCACGTACAACTGGAAGCGTTGTGACATGATGAGCAAAATCATGGTGCAACAATAAGCAAAAGCCATTACTACAAGTTTATACCGTATTTATCAGCCTGAAGCTCCTGCAAATATGAACTTTTCTTTACATTTTTGTTATATGATTAAACACTGGCTAAGCTAATTCCTAAACAAGATTACATTTTTTTTAAAGTACATTATAATGAACTCTTCATAACACAAATGACAAAATATCAAGAAACCAGTGCCTTTCAGCTCTTACACATTCAAAACATGAGAACTACTTCAAAATTCTCCGTAAGAACTAAAGGGAAGAAGCTGCACTCTCTTACACTAGTCATTATGACATAAGTTTTCTTCATAATGAAAACCCCCAAAACACTAACTTTCATTAAAAATTAAATCAGAATTTACTTTTTGATGTATTAAGCACCTTGGGTTGGCTTTGCGAGCCAAGGCACATACAAAAAGGCAAACAGTAACATCTTTAATTACAACTAGTTTCAATATATTTTTCAATGCCTTACATGGCACCTATTATTCATTACTTGACAAGCCACCCAAGTAAACAGAGAAGTACTACTCACCCTTCTCCAGTGATTTTACATTGCGACTTGTCAAAGTAATTCTGATGCGATGAATCGCCACCTCTTGTTCCACAGGTGCTTTGCCAGTATCTTTGAACGCCTAAAATGTTGAAGTTACAAATATCAAACACTACAGTGAACACCAACTAACGCTATCCACTGCCTCTTGAAAATAGATTTCCAGAGTAAAGAACAATCTAGCTATGGGACTATTTAACACTAATGACTAGAACAGCTACCTGAAGGGCATGGCAGCATAGTAAAAATAATGGGAAGAGAATGAAAGAGCAAAGTCCCAACTCTAAGGTAAAACAGTTTTTTAGCGTCTAACTGCTTCTCAAGGTGGGAAGCTGGAAGCTCACCCTTCCCTGGTTTGCCTGTATACAGCTGGCACAAAAATTCCTTTTCCTCAAAAAAAAAAAAAAAAAAAAAAGTATTTCAGTCATCATGTATCTTTCATGTCAACACAAATGAAAGACTTGATCAACAAACCTGCAACAACTCACACTAGGAGAACAAAAAGGGGCGCTTGGCCAGAAAAACTAATTCGGCCACTCAGGAAACTGATTTGAGGAGCTTATGCCATTAAATACTTGCAAATAATGGGGCGCTAACGCGAGTTAAGTGAGCTGATGAAATAGGAGTAAAAAAACAGACACAGGAAGGTCTTAACAAAAGAGGAATTAATTATATATACATATGTCTCCATAAAAATATAAATAGGGGGGCTGCCCAGAGGATGGAGCCAGGCTCTTCTCGGTGATGCCAACCAGTAAGACAGGAGACAACAGGCAGAAACTGATGCACAGAAATTCTACCTGCACATGAAGAACTTCTTTACTGTGCGGGTGACTGAGCACTGGAACAACTACCCAGAGAGGTTGTGTGGCGTATCCCTCACTGGAGCTATTCAAGAGCCGTCTGGACTCAATCCTATGCCATGTGCTCTAGGATGACCCACTGCGGTTC